CATAACCTATGCGCGCATGTGTGGTGTAGCTATAAAAGCCCATATGCACATGCGTGGGGGTGACCCATAAAAGCAGATTCCACCCGATCCCCTCTCTCTCTCCTGCACTATTCATTTCCGGCAGGCCTATCCACGTTCTTATACTTTCCCTAATAAAACTCTTACAGTGGGTTCCATTGTACCTCGTGTTCTCTCTTGCCCAGTAAACTGCACCGCAAATAAATAACCGACAGCACTGTGGTGACTTCTCAGTCCGCGGCTTGCTCATTCCAGAGGTGTATGGGAGTGAGGAGACTTCTGAGCCTGGCCAAAGACGTCCTGTTGGCCTTGGTATTCATTCATTTTCTGTTGCCAGCAGCACAACACCATAGACTGGGTGAGGTTTAGCAGACGGGGTTACTTTGATGACTTCTTGTATGTATATGAAGTACATAAGGCATCTTGGTCATCCCCTCTTCCTTACTGCCCCCTTGATCCCCTTCTCCTGCTGAACCCCTTGTTTCTTTAAACAAGTCCCTCCTACCTTCATGTCTTTCTGTTGCTGATGTTGTGACCCACTGAGTTTATCGTATTTATTTTTATTATTTAGTTATTTAGGTTCAGGTGACTTGAATTCAGATTGCTTGCATGAGCGTGAGTAGTGTGTGTGTGTGGGGTGTTTACTGGATTGAGGCAAGTTGCCACTGAATATTATGATTTCCCCTCCCCCAGCAATCATTAACTGCCAACAGCTCCTTAGGGAGCAGTGATGCTTCACAAGCCCCTCCCCCATCCATGGTGGCATGTTAACGGGGCCCCAGCTTGAGCAAGTCACAACAGCGGCTGTGAGGTAGTGCAGCAGCCATGATCCAGATATCAGTGTTTGCAGCACTACCCACCATCTTTTGGCTTTTACCCTCTTCTGTGACATCCCCTGAGCCTAGGAGTCGTGATATGTTTCCCTTTTGGGCTGAGAACTCAACAGTCCCTTATTCTCAGGCCTTTGATCACTTATCAGTCTCTGCACTGTTAAGCAATGCAAAAAGAAGCTTCTCTGACCAGTGATAGGCAGCATGCTCTATGCGTATAAACCTACGTACAGAGATGGCGATTCGATCCTGTGTCCATTTAACCAAACTACAGTCGCAGTACACCTCCCTCCAGGGCCTCTGCTCTCTATAGCCTCGCTTTTGATCAGGTGTATAACACCAGGCGTATATCCCCCCTGTGGAGAGCAGGCCCCCAAACCCACAGGGCAGCAGTTGTTTTCTTCTGTAAAAGCATGCTGTTATTGTACCTGTGGGCACACGGACCATCTTGCCTGGCAGATTGGTAATATAGCTCACAGGGTTCACAGCTGGGTATGGTTTTGGGTGCCTTTTCCTCCCCAGGAATCTGCATAGCACTTCCTGGCTCTATGAAAGGTATGCAGCAGAAAGGAAGTTTCCTGATCAGTTGAGCTTACTTCTTTATGTCCTGCAACCAAAGTTTCTCACTCTTTTTATAATGCCACCAAGGTACAATTATGGGGGGCTCCACCCCAGTGATGCTATCTAATCTGAATCATATTCCAAAGGTGAGTTGAATATGTTTCCATCTTCTTAATACTTCACAATGGGGAATCAGTTTAAATCCATGAAGTCTTGGAGAGACGCTAAACCGTATTCAAATCATAGCTGCTTCTGCAGATCTTAAAATCGTGTCACACTCAGACTTTCTTCTGTGCGTTCGGCCCCTTCCCGGTCCCTTCTTCTCCCTGCTCTTGCACAGGTACACTTGCATGGTGGTTGTCTAGCATTTCCAGACTCCTATTCCTTCCTGCGTCCCACACTGAGGTTTTTCTCTCCAATGAACGAACGTCTTGCACATTTAACTCACTCAGCCTTGGCATTTAGACTCTTTGAAGATCTGGAAAGATTCCCAAGACTTTGTCTTTGCCATGGCTCAGAATCACATCACAAACAACTGGGTGTTGCGGCCCGTGTCTGTATTTGCAACACCTGGAAGCTGAGGCAGGAGGATCCAGCATGAAGTCAGCTTGGGCAATATATATATATATTCTGTCTCAGAAAAATAAAGGAAAAATTATAGCAATAATGATAAAGACTAGACAGGGAGGGAGAACGAAGAGAAAGCAGAGGAAAAGGAGAAAGTGAGGGAGGAGGCAGAGGAGACTCCTGAGGGTAGAAGTGGGTTTGAAATCTCAGCTGTTTGTCTTCCTTTGATTCTAAATGTCAATGAAATGGTTATCTATTAAAATATTTCCTGCCAGTTCTGATTCTGAAAGAAATGAAATCAAGGCGCAGTGCCAGAGAGGAAGAGCTGCAGCCAGACCTACTGGGTAGGAGGCAACCAGCACATCAGTTTATTACTGCTCTACTGAGAGTGACATACATATTCAGTCCATTCCTTCTTCAGGAGAGGACCATGTACTGCACACCGAACACATTTTATAAAGCCTGTCTTCACATTACATTAACAACACAGCTGACAGGAAACACACCAGTTTTACACAGTACACAATGACTTAATCAAGTTTTCTTGTTTGTGTATGTGTACTTGTATGTGAGTGTGCATGCATGGTTCTGTACTGGAGCATGTGAGTGCAAAGTGCTACAGGTGCTCAGGCATTTGTGTGCATGCATGTGGGGGCCAGAGGAGAACTTAGGTATATTCCTCCGGCACCATCCACCTCCTTAGTCTTAGTGACCCAGCTTGCTATATATGCAGACTAGATGACTATTGAGTCCCAAGAATCCGTCTCCTGTCTCTACATGCTCAGTGCCAGGATGTCTTTCCTTTTAGTACTTAAAAAGATTTTTTCTGATCTGTGCTACTTTTAGTTATGGGAATGTGTAAGTATGTGAACTTGAGCGCAGGTGTTCACTGAAGCCAGAGGCAATGGATCCCTGGATCGCAGTTGCCAGTGGTTGTGGGTGCTGGGAACATGATTCTATCCTCTGCAAGAGCCAGTCTCTCCATGTCTGTCTTCTTTCTTGTTTGAGACAGATTCCGTTATTTAGTCTAGCCTAGTCTACAACTCACAATGCTCCTGCCTTTGCTTTCTCAGTGTGGGGATCCCAGGGATGTACTACCAAGCTTGGCTTCTAAATACCTTTTTTTTTCCCCATCCAAATCTTTCAGAATTTTAAATTGTGTGTGAAATATGTAGAAAAGATTGAGACTGAAGTAGATATTTATGTCTTGAAAATTGTTTACCTATTATTTGATTGGGTATTGGTGTCTCAGACTTTCCTGTTGATACTTCTTTGTAAACTTCTGAATTTCTCTCTTTCTTTTTTTCCTTCCTTCCTTCCTTCCTTCCTTCCTTCCTTCCTTCCTTCCTTCCTTCCTTCTTTCTTTCTTTCTTTCTTTCTTTCTTTCTTTCTTTCTTTCTTT